TGACAGCAGTTTTAAAATCATGCGTGCTTTATGCTCCTCAGTTGTGGCTTCTCATACGAAAATTATGGCCAAAAGCAGCTAATGCTGCTTATATGGTGCACAAAGGCACAGCACAAAAGCATCGAGCCACAACAAAAGCATGCGCACAGATATTAGACTAAAGAAAAAGTAAATTTCCAGTTGTAGGCAATCCCAGCTATTTATAACACAATACATTATTGGTTAATTTATTAAAATTTCTTCTTTGTTTTTTATGCTTTAGGCAAAAGTTCTAACGAGATATTGTGTTAATAAATTATTCAATTATATAAAATAAATATTAAGTATACGACCTGCAATCATATTCTCAGATTAATATTAATTTTTTTAATACAACAGAAATCCGAAATTCTGAATTGCACTCACAAATGTTTTTTTTTGCTTAGATAATAATTGTTTTATAATTATTTGCCGCTAACCTTTAACTTTGTCAGCTCCAATCGCGCCTAATTTAATTAAATTAAGCACTTTTTAAGTGCCCCCACGAAACACACACACACTGAGACAAAAGCCACCTATTTTAATTTCTATAGATTTCTTTTTGTAGATTATTTTTATTGGCGCCAATTAAGATATTGTAAATTTAGCTTCAATTTGCTGCTGAATTTAGCACAAAAACAACAAGAAATTCGTGTGAGTGTGAATTTAGCTGCTGCTCATTTTCCGATTTTCTCTGCGTTTAATGTAATTTCCACGAAAATAGTTAAGCATTTTTTCAAGTTATATTTAATGCTTAAGCAGAATTGCACAATTTGTTTATTTAAATAAATGAGTATATTTTATGATAAATTAAAAGGGCATACAGTTTTCTGGGGCGTGGCAGCTGGAAATATGTACGCGAGAAATGCGCGCAAATGTAAACAAAAACAAATTTTTTTAATTCCTTTGCAAAAACTGAGAAATTCTCAATTTATTTAGTGCAGAAAGTGCCCCAAATTTAATTGAGTACACAATGAACTTGAGATTTTGGGCAACTATAAAAAGTTACTATATCTACGTATATATTTATTGATATTTACACTTTATCTTTTGCTTCAGGTTAAGCTGCATGCAACGCCACCGCCGCCGCCCTCACAGGAACAAAATCTACTGCAAAAGGAAATACGCAGTTCAAAGAGCGTTTACATACCCAGGTGAGCAAAGTAAATGACAGCAATTTGCATACCCTGTACAAATTGCTAGAACTAAATAGGAGAAACCATCTGAGGATCCATGAAGTGGTATACCTTCGGGATTTGTCAAGCAGAAGGGGAGACATCGCCGACTACACAAAGTGTATTTAGCCATGTCCGTCGAGAACTATATACAGTAAACGTGCTATACACAGATAGAGAATACTTAGCTTTTTGGGTACTTATCATTCCCTTACATTCGCTTCAAAATAAAACAGGGTCATTTTAATGTTAGACTTTGCGCTTTGCTATATACACACATTTGTTTTGTCATATATAATCCATAAACATTTATTTAAGATTGGACTATAGTTAAGAAATGATTTCCTGTAGATAGTATGGGCATCTCCTAGTCGGATATACCCGGCAAAAGCCCCTTTGCCGTTTGATCTGTCAATCTAATATTATATTTACTTTTGACAGATTCTACTTTCCACATGGCAAGCCGCAGCCAACCATTGCCATGGAACGTGTCATACGCGGCATATTGTCCGCCTTCGATAGCTTTCCCAACAATCAGGTGACCAAGGATGAGCTGCCGCGTATCCTAAAGCTGTGCGGCCTGCCCTTCTACTGGCGCATGCCGGTCATGATCTTCTGCCAAGCAGGTGCCACAGGTCTGGTGGAACGTCAGCGTTTCGTCGAGTTCTGGAAGCAGTTAAGTTAATATGGAATCACTTGCCAAGATTTTCAATTAAATTTCATCTTTTCTCCAATTTCAAACAGAATGAATGTGTATTGCCATGAGGCGGCCTCGCGTTTTGTTTATATTTTATCGCGTGGCCAGCGCTTTCGTTCCTATATTGTGCCAGAGGATTTGGTGCCGATGGTGCAAGATGTGGTTGATACGCATCCAGGTCTGGCGTTCCTGAAGGAGGCCACCGAATTCCATTCCAGATACGTGCACACGGTCATCGCGCGCATCTTCTATTCGGTGAATCGCAGCTGGAGCGGCAAGATAACAATATCGGAGCTCAAGCGCTCCGATCTGCTGGAGGTGAGTCCACTCACATATTGTACACTAAGAAGTAAATAATAATCGAAGCATTTCAGATGATTAGCCTGCTGGAGGAGGAGGAGGATATCAATCAGATAATGGCCTTCTTTAGCTACGAGCACTTCTATGTGATCTATTGTAAGTTCTGGGAACTGGATAAGGATCACGATCTGCTCATTAATCAGGAGGATCTGGCCAAGCACAGCGACAATGCGCTCTCCACGCGCATTGTCGAACGGATCTTCTCCGGCTGTGTGACGCGCAGCGATAACAAAAAAAAGCCCGACGATGAACCAAAAATGTCCTACACGGACTTCGTCTGGTTCATACTCTCCGAGGAGGATAAGCGCACACCGACGGCCATTGAGTACTGGTTCCGCTGCATGGACATTGATGGCGATGGCGCCCTCTCCATGTACGAGCTCGAATATTTCTACGAGGAGCAACAGCAGCGCATGGAGGGCATTGGCATTGAGTGCCTGCCCTTCGAGGATTGCCTCTGTCAGGTGGGTTAGCCCTGAGTCCCCCTGATCCCTTACAGCTTTTATCATAATGCCGATTCCTGTTAACTCTCACAGATGCTGGACATGATAAAGCCTGCAAACCGTGATTCCATTACCTTGGGTGACTTGAAGCGATGCAAAATGACGCACGTGTTCTTCGATACCTTCTTTAATCTAGAGAAGTATCTAGATCACGAACAGCGCGATCCGTTCGCCGCACAGCGCGATGAATCCGTAAATATGTTCCACATCCAGTCATTTTCCCAACTATATTCCATATATATAAATATATATATTGTCTTCCTGCCTTTACAGACCTCCGATTGGGATCGATTTGCGGCACAGGAGTATGAGCTGCTTATATCTGAGGAGAATGATTGAAGCTCGTTATCAAAATTCGGGTCTAACTAATTATTTATATACATATTCTATACAGACTCACCCTCACTCACTCACACACACACACACACACCCCCACACACACACAGACACACACCAGCCCACACACGCAACCAAAATATATTTATTTACTTACAAATTTTTATACAAATTTTACACCACGTGAACAAAATTTACACAAAAAAAAAAAAATCCCAAAAAAAAAAGATCAAAACAAAACAAAAAACAATTATTTTAGTGCATATGTGCAATAAATCTTAATTATATTTATTAATGAGTTTCGAATATGCAAGTTGCATGAGTCAATTTTTATTGAGTAGTTAACCTTAGTCAATTTAATTTGTGCAAATTTTGTTTAGTTGAATATGATAAATAAAATTAATCATAAATTTGTTTAAATGCATTTTCATCTGAATTAATAATGAAATTATTGAGAAACGAATATCAATTTTAAATGCAAAGCTTTAAAAAAAAGTGTATATTTAAATAAATTATTTAAAATGCATCTCATATTAACTTATGTCTATATAAAATGCATGGTGATTAAATAGCCTTGTCGAAGTTTGGCTTACGGTTTGACAGATGTGAGCTCAACCGAAGTTTTAAGTGGTGTCCTATTTGCTTCACTTATTTTTAAAGCTCTACATAAGAACTTAATGAATATGTGTTTCAGCAATTTGGAAAATTCCATGCACAACAATGGTTAATTAGCGAAAAACGTTGGTATGAAACTTTTTTGGTGAACTATCGGATCGTCCTCAAACTTATTTTCAAAGATCATTGCTAAAGTTCATTAGACAGGTGTTTCACACGTTTCGAAAAATCCGCTCCTCCTTGGTGGAAATGGGAGGGTAGATGGCCTTTTGCCTTCAAATTCATTTGCATGGATCTACATACAAAATCATTTGAGACGTGTTTCACATATTTTGCAAAATCTAAGCTCCTTCGATGGAAAGTGCATTTTAAAGTAATTTTTCGAGAATTTTAAGCTGTGTCCGATTTGCATCAAATCTCTATATAAGAATATAATAAATAAGTGTTTCAGCGATTTGGAAATGACGGAAAACGTTTGTATGAGAGTAGTTTGTTTACTGTCCGCTCAGTTTCAAAATCATTTTCAAAGCTATTCGAGAACATTGATTTTATAACATAAGTGCCACGGGCAAGGCCAGGCTATACCCGCTAGTATTATATATAAGTCCGATGTTGATTTTCCATATGTGTGCATATTTAGGAAGCAAAGCGAAACTTATATGTGCCAACTTTGGTTAAAATATATTGAAAAACAATAAGATCGCCATACAAGACTACTTTTTGACAGTTCGTTCCTATGTCAGCTGGATGAGATAGTCATCCGATCGGGCCTGTTGCGCGCCCATCTCCAGCAAACTGACCGACATGGCCATACTTTATTTTAAATTTCTGTAATTGACGAATTTATACATGCGGAGAGACAGTTGATACTAACCGATTGTATACTTACTTTTTCGGATCGGAGATGTCTTCTATGCATTAAACATTTCATCATAAAATTATAAATCCCTCTACAAGGGTTTTATTTATAAATAGTCCCCCTCAAGCCATGATAGCGATATTGAAGTCTTCATTTTTATTTTTTTATTAATGTTTTTTTTTAATTGTTTTTTTTTTTAATTTTTTTTTACGTTTCCTTGTACAACTTAAATTAGTTAAAAATATAATTTGCTTCTCATCTCTTTAATTGGGCTACCAAAAAATTTGTAACGCACTTTTGCTTTTGCCTAGTTATATATGTATTGAGAGTTATTGAAATATATATTATATAAAGATATAGGGTTTATGAAAGACGCAACAGGCATAGACTGTTGTCGTACTCATATTTATTTTGCTCTAATTAGTCGCACTTATGGATTGTTTTTAAAAAAAGTGGTGTATTTTTTATTATCATTTTTGAATTACAATTCTAGTGAATGTTGTTTTTACAGTTGGCCTTATTTGAATTGAATGTTGCAAACTATTTTTGAACGGCTGCGTGCATAAACAATTTACGCTGCTTGTCAATTCTGAATCACAGGTGCATTGGGCATAGGGGGAGAGCGATATAATTTTTATATATATAATATGTATATAAATTGCGCAAGAGCCATTCAAAAATTGTGCGACAGGTAGTAGGGGGCTATGTACCGACCAAAGTATCATTTAAACGTGACTAAAAATAATATAACACATTAACGATCATATATAAATTGGTACTAAGATTAAATAGAGTTCGAAATTAAAGCAAATTGCAAAGCAGAAAATGTTTTAACAGGATGTAACTCTAAGAAGTCTAAAAAGTGAATTCAATGAAAAGCGCAGGCACAAATTTCGGAGATGGGTAAAAACAAAAGAAAAAGCGTTTGCATTTTGTTGTGTTGTTGTTGTTGCTGCGGTTGTTGTTGTTGTTGTTGTTGTTATAGCTGTTGTTAAGCTAGTCGCTTTAGCTTTTGTTTACTGCGTTTGTTAACTGAGCGTTTACTGTTTGAGCCGTACTTTTTCACTATCCTCAAAGTTCTTATCATTATCGTTGGTGGGCTCCGAATCTGTTGTTTCCGTTGTGCCATCGCCGGTCACGCTGGCATCCTCGTCGCTATTGCGAATGTAAACGGGCTTCGTATTGCCGCGCACATACTCCGCGGTAATGTGTACGCCTCTAATATCCGAGCCGGGCACGATGAACATGGGATCCAGCAGCAGGGTCTCCTGTAAATATATATGTTATGATTAAGATCGGTTGATTGATCAACATTTCTTAGAGCTTACCATTATGGAGCGCAGACCACGCGCGCCTGTATGCCTCTCCATGGCTAATGTGGCAATTGATTCTACAGCGTCTTCGGTAAATGATAGATCCACCTCGTCCAGGCCCAGCAGCGCCTTATATTGCGGCACCAGGGCGTTGCGCGGCTCGGTTAGAATGCGCACCAGCATATTGACGTTCAAACTATGGAAGGGCACAATGACCGGAAAGCGACCAACAAATTCCTGTGCATAAATAGCAGTAAGTAAATAATAAATGTAAATATGTACTATTTAAAGATAGTTTAGTTCGAGCTACTAACGGGTATCATTCCAAATTCAACGAGATCACGCGCCTGCACCTTGGTCAGGCATTTATCACGCTCTTCCTGATCGTTGTCCATGGGACTCGCTGTCGATTGAGCCGCTCGACGGCCCGAGCCGCTGGTCGAGGGCATGCCAAAGCCCAGATACTAATAAAAAGGCGAACAACAGATGAGTACAGCTTTCATTCTGAGGCTACGGCTCGTTTCTCACCTTCTCATTTAGGCGACGGGCAATCAGGCGATCCAGGCCCGTATAGGCGCCCGAGGCGACAAATAGTATATTCGTTGTGTCCACCTGCACCGTTTCGCCACGCAACTTGCGCGGTGAGTTGCGCTCGGGTACATTGACAACGGTGCCTTCCAGCATTTTAAGCATGCCCTGTTGCACACCCTCGCCGCCCACGTCGCGCAGCTGATGTATACCGGGCACAGCGCCAATTTTGTCTACCTCATCCAAGAAGACAATGCCTGTTTGAGCACGTTCCACACTGCAAGAGAATATAAAAGAGAAGAGATACACGCTTATAAAGGGTTTTCGAAAATTCCACCTGCAATTGTGGAAAATTGTTACCCATGGTGGGTGAAGTTTCGGACTCAAACTCGTTTCAGGTATCTGAGTAATTTCTTTCGCCTGTATTTATCGGAATAAAATACGTCTTCGAAGATCGCTACGACAATTAATTAAAGAGTCAATTTTAAGTAATCTATCACATCCTGACTAGAGAATGTTGGATTGGCTAATCAGCAGCAAGGCTGGGAAATGGTTGGGTACCAAGCTTGGAATTCTCTTCCCGTGAATTGGAAACAGATTTTATATGTTATGTTATTGTGTTAGTATAATTACTTGTAGTTGGCATCCTGCAGCAGCTTTGATATAACGCTCTCGATATCCTCACCCACGTAGCCGGCTTGGGTGAGCGTTGTGCAATCGCAGATGGCAAATGGGACATCCAGACAGCGGGCAATTGTCTGGGCAATTAGGGTTTTACCGGAACCCGTGGGGCCCAGCATTATGATATTGCTCTTCTCCAGCTTGACATCGTTGCTCTGCTTGTCCAGTATCTCGGAGCCGGGCCGATGTTCGTTGCGCGCGGAGCCGACGCTGCTGGCGCTGCTATGCAGGCCGCTGCCGAGACCGGAACCGGAACCAGTCAGTCCACCACCCAAACCCATTTGGGCTGGCTTTGGCGGCAGCTCGCTGCCCGGCGTGCTGTTCAGTGTGTGCCCAATGCCGGTGATATGCAGCAGATCCGTGCGCGGTATACCATCCAGTCCGCCGCCTGCGCTGGCCGAGCCTGTAGTTGGCTGCTGCAGTTGCGGCAAATTGTGATGGATGCGCTTGTAATGATTGTAAACGGCAACGGCGAGCACCTTCTTGGCAAATTCCTGGCCCACGACATGCTTATCCAGATACTCCATGATCTTTTGCGGCGGCGGAGGCGGCTTACGCTGATTCTTTGGCTCCTCCTTGATGCGCTGCTTGGTCTCCACGTCGGAGAGCACCACAAAGAAATAATTGCACTTGGCGCATTTCACAAAGCGTGTTGAGCTGACAAATGTCTCTACTTGAGTGCACGCGCTGCCACATTTCGGACAGGACAAAAACTTATCACCACCAGCGCCGCCGCCGGTTGTGTTCGCACCGTTGCCGCTAGCGCCCGCGCCAGGCACTTTGCCGGCACCACCGCTGCCACCTATGCCAGGCCCAGTTCCTGTGCCAGTGCCGGCGCCGGTGCCTGCGCCCGTGCCAGTGCCCGTGCCGCTGCTCGCATCCGACATGGATGTGACACCATTCGTGATGTCAATGTAGGCGGGTATGGCCACCAGCGGCTCCAGCAGCATATGCCCATTGGCGGTGCAGTGCTGTGTGGCCAAATGGAACTGTCGCACGGCAATCGCTCTGCCCTCCAGCCCTGTGCTCAGTATGATGCATTTGGGTGTGTGCTGTACGTGGCTGCTTCCTGCGAACGAGTGAAGGGAAGAGTTTAGTATCTATTAAATATGACAATTTACAAGCTGCAAATTGATTTGCTTTGTCGTCCAGTTCGTCCATTGAACCCTCCGCCAAGAACTTCAGATTGCAGATTGTAGACAGCTTTGTGATAATGGCATGATTATCGCATGTTATATAATGTATTGTATATGAGAATGCGAGCCAGTATATCTCAGAATAAAATTTCTACTCAACTTATTAGACAATTTGTATAATTTCTATATTTTTATCCATGTTACCCCATTAAATATATATATATATATATATATATATGCATCAACAGATGCATCCATAAAGCCAAATGTCTATAGCGCTCCTGGAAGCTATCTTAATGAACTTTGGGCAAGAAACACAAATATCGCATTTCCGAATCCTTGGACTTATATATATTTACAAGCAGAATCCTATCAAGATAGCTTGGCTATATCAGGTAGCTATTGTGGAAATATCAGATCAAAAATATTGTCCCATTTCTGGGCTCGGTTCAATCCGTTCCTTATATTGGGGTTCGGTGGGCTGGTGTCTGTTGACAATTCATGCAAATTGCTGTTCTCGCTGATAGTGGAAGTAATCCAAGGCCAATTAGCAGCTACGCATATAAAAATGATTCTATTCAATTAGAGCCTAAAAAAACTGACAAGTTCAGGGGAAAATGTTGGGCATTGATATTTAACTCGGTAAAAAAAAAATGCAGTTTCAGCAGTAAATAATGAATTTGAATACTATATAATGACGGGTTCAAATTGTATTTGTAATAATAACAAAAAAAAAGAATAAGTCGAATAGCAATAGAGTGAAAACTCGGTTGTGAAGTTTTCGAGATTTAGAATCGGGAAAATATCGCGAAATATCAGCAACTTTTTTAATGATAAAATGCAAATATTTGTATGAGAACCGTTTTCAATTTGGGTAAAACAAATATTTCCTGTCGTAAGCTTATTTCAAAGTTTATTGGGGAAATCTTTGTACAACAAAGTTTTGAAAATTGTCAAATAAGTCTGTTCGTCTGTCGAGATTTTACTGTACATGAAAGTGCACATTAAATAAACGACTCGTCATAATACCCTAACAACTTGCACTTATATAATTGGCCTTTCCACACTTCCGCCCAACCGCTGGCTACGTTTATAGAGAAAAAGTTTATTACCTGCGACCACTGGAAAAATGACTTTTGCCATTTGTGCACATTGGACATACGTACATACATAAAAATGTATGTTTTCAAGCGGCCGATCATTGCGTCAAAGCCGTAACCACAATAATTAAACCTCGACCACATTTAAAAACAATTCAAGTTCAGTTCAAAAACGCGGCCGCTGTCGCCGACGACGCCGCCGCCGCCGCTGTAAACAAAAAATCGAACAGCAACAACACAACAAATCAGCACAAATACGATACATGCTACGTTGTCTGATTGGAATAACGTTATGTCTATGCAACGTTGACCTTCGCCAAATGCTGTTTGACATGAATTTAAATCATGTAACTCATTCGAGTTGGCTCTAAATCAATGGCTCAAAACCTGCGGGCCAGCCTTGTTAGCCAAATGCGACCTTCATATAAGCCAAAAGTGAGTGTAACGTTTATTATGCAGCAAAGAAATTCTGATAAGCATTTTGCCTAACGGACTCGCTGATATTCTTGTTATTGCTGCTGCTGTTGCTTACGGCTGCTGCGGCTACGTGACGGCCCGCTCTCAGCAAATGACGCAGTTACGTATACGATTTTGCACAGCAAATCATAAATTTAATATGTTTTGTATGTTCGCGATTGATTGTGAATTGCCATTTTCTGCTTACCCTTTGTCCAAATTTTATATCTTGGAGCCAGCAAAATGATGCGCCGTACCATGCTCATTGTGAAGCTCTGGTTGCTCTGATGTTGCTGGTATTACGGGAATCTCAGCTGGCGGTTCTGCTCTCTCTTACACACACACACACAGACACACAATACTCTCTTCCTGCTACTGTTCGGGGGCTGCTAATATTTTGTTCTTGTTGTTGCCAGCTTGTTCTGGACTATTTTGACAAGCAAATATTGCTGGTCATTCGATTCAGCCTTGCACAATTCTCTGAAGCAATTGTTGATTTTCACTCGCAAAAAATATATTTTTTAAAGCGTTTTTCCTCTTCTTTCTGATCTGTTGTACGACGCAATTGTTAATTTTTCGCTGCGCGCTGCTGGTATTTTTGTGTGTGGAAAATGTGAATAAAATAGATTGCGCTCGGCGCGTTGCTGTATCTCTGCACTCGTTTGGCGGTGTGTGCATGTATTTGTATTTGTACGTGTGTGTATTTGTGTATGCTGTGAGTGTGTGTTTCGGTTTTTCTGATTTCTTCTCCCACGTTGTTTCGTGCGCGCTGGTCACAGTATGTGCTTCTTCTTATTGTTGCTTGTTTTTTTGGTATTCACTAGCAGTTTTGTTTTTGAAGCCGTTTTTGTTGACGATCCATGACACAGTTTAATCAAATTGCGTCCAAGCACCACCGGTTCTCTATCCTGGTTGTGCTGGTAATAACGCGACGCTATTTCTGATGCAAGCCCGAACTTGTGTTTGGTTCACAAAATACAACAATGCGAGTCTTTGAGCAGCTGTTGATTTGACTACAGCTGTTGCGCGCGGCTCTTCTTCTTGCCTGTGCTGCGCACCGTGGTATATACAATGACATTAAGTGACCAAAAGGTTATCGAAAAATACACAAAAGAATTTGGACTAAATTACGGCCAGAAATATAAAAAAATTTATATAGAGGGAAATTTAAAAGCACTTTGAATTTTGTTTTGTCAATTTTTTTTTATATTTGACTTGTTAATCTAATTTATTTGCCAACAGGAGCTAGTAGCCGGGTATAATTCGGCCCTTTTTGCTAGCCTTCTTCAATTTCTTGTTCTTCTTATCCTTGCTGCGCTTGTCAAGATTTTCCTGTCGCTTCTTCTGACGCTTCGCAATATCATGATCCACCTTCTGTTTACGCTCTGTCCATTTTTTCTTTGCCGTCCGCTTCTCCACCTTCTTCTTTTTGATGGCTTTCTGCAGAAGCTTGGTGTCATCCTTCACTTTTTTGCCCTCAATCTTGTCAAATGCCTTTTTCCAGGCAATATCATTCTGTAATTCGGCTGCCTTGTCTGCTTCGCCCTGTTCCTTGAGTTTGTTTATGTGCTGACGCGTATCTTTCAGCTTTTTTAGAATTTCTTTTGGATTCTGATGCGATTTCTTAGCTTTAGCGCCTGGATTAGCCGCAAAATCAATTTTGGAATAAACAATTTTGGCTTCCTCGTTGAACACTGGCTCCACTTTAACGGGCTGAATAACTGCTTTGCTGTCCGTGGCATCCCCAGATTGATTTGACTCCGTTTTGATCAACCCGTTCCTCGCTTTCTTTTGCTTAATGTTCTCGTTTTTGATTGATTTTGCCGAGGAAAGCAGCAGCTTTTGCACACCCTTGCTTTGTTTAAGCTTTTTGGCCTCACGTCTTTTCTGTTGTCGTTCTGTGGTTGGACGTTTCTTCTGGCGTAATTTGTTCTTTATGGACGCAATGCGCTCGTCCACATCTTCTTCGTCGTCGGGTCCAGTTCTGATTGACGACTTGGGCTTTATACCTTTTGGATTTGGCGTATTTTCCTCGTCAGACAGCAAATAGTCCTCGTAAGTGTCTTCATCTGGAATAATGTTGCATAAATTTAACGATAACTATAGATTAAATGTGTTTTCACCTTCTTTTTTGGAGTAAGGCACATTGTGTATTGTTAATAGACGGATCACTTTCTGTTCAAATCGTTTCCTGATCGTCGCCCGGTCTTGCTTCGGCTCCTCTTTGCCATTCTCACGGTTGTAGTACTCCCAAACGCTCTTAACCGCCTCCTCATCAGTCATATAATCCATAGAAATCTTGTTAAAAACTCAATTTTTTGAAGAAAACAAATAACTACTTTGAGCTCACACGTGCAGTTGAAGCTCATTAGAGAAGGCATATTATCGCGATGTTCAACAGTTGAGGGCGACGATAATTTAATTTATCGAATATTCATTTGGGTCGATTATGGGATATTATAAAAGTCTTAAAATAAATATATAAATAAATATTATTTTTACCTAATGCTCTTTGCCTCATAATAGGCTCTTTGACGCCCATTACAGTCAGCCGTGCGATATATCCAATTAAAGTATTTTATGCTTGCACATATCGATATTTAGATTTTTTGGGCATGCAATGACAGCCATCGATAGTTGATCGATATCATAATACCTCGACTTTACATCATTTTTCCGTAATTCGTCGGCCGAGAATGACTAATTTTTGCCAGTGTTTAAAAATATTTGTAAATGCCGAGTTAATTTAATACAGCAAAATAAACCACAACAAAGTGCATTTTGTTTTTGTAAAACGTAAAAAGGCGGTCGGTAGTGTGTGCAAAGCGGCAACAAAATGAAGAAACAATTTGCAAAAATAAAAATTGCTGCTGAAAATTTAAGGTAAGTTCAAAGGCCAGGGGGCAGGCAGGCAGGCAGCGGCATCCGTAGAGACGCGACGACTTCCAAAAGCGCCAGACAAAAGCGCGAGCAGCCAGTGGCGGGCGCAGGTGTTGCCTCATAACAACAACAACAACAAAAACAACAGCAATAACAGCAACAACAAACATAACAACACAAATCAATGCCAAAATAAAGCGCAGCGCTTACGTTTTTTTATATGCATGTTTCTTACGTAGCTGATGACCTAACGGCATTTGTGTAATGGCATTTACATATATATCGGTGTCGGTATCGTGATTTGTATCTGTATTTATTGTGTTTTTTTTTTACATAGATCTACAAAATCTGACTGCAAAGATTCTGAGCTTGAGACCATTGAGAAACAGGTGGACCGATATCGCGAAACCATTGAGAAAATAGTGCGCAAATTACCAGCGCACAGCGGCAGTAGCAGCAGCAGCAGCAGCAATGGCATCGTTACCATCGAGGAGCACGACAAGCGCATCAAGAAAAACAGTCACTACAAGATTGCCCAGGCGCTGGACGAAACCGCCAAGGAGTTGCCCAAGGATATGCCGTTGCACAAGGTTCTAGCGAATTGCGGTGAGTAAATCCAAGGGGAGCGTATGTGTGTATTTACTAGTGCGTGTGTGTATATGTGCTTTTATCGGCGTCTTGCTGGCTGTGATAAGGGCGCCAGCTAGAAAGAAAAAAATTGAATACGAGACCACATAAAATGCGCAAGGTGTGCACAGTTATGTTTGCGTGCATATGTACATATATGTAAGTAGGCGCATAAATGTCTATGCATATGCTCTGATGACTGTGTGTCACGGGCTTGCGTGCGCTCTGTGCGTGTGTATGTGTGCTTGTGTTTATGTGTGTGTGGCCTCGCCTTGTCTGCGCTTGGCCTTGTGGCATTTACATTTCTCAACATCGAAGTCGATTATTATACCCTATACCCATTAAAAACAGCTTAAATAGGGTGTGCTGCTTATGAGCCCCGACTTTATAAAGTATATTTTATTGGTCACATCAATGTGGAACAACAAAACTCCGTTGTTCTGTCGATATAGATAAATATTGATTTTCAGCTGCTGCAATTTATAAAAGCAATAGGCACTATATGTGTGTGTATTGCACACCGAACAAGCAATTTTCTATTTTCGGATAGCTCCCCTCACTTTGAGTACGTTCTTATATAGCAAAATTCCTAATATATACGAAGTCTAAGTGCAGGGTGTCTGTTAGTCAGCAACACTCCTCCAGAGTTGTCGCTGCTGCTTAGCGCGTTTTTTAATCATTATAATAATTTTTATGGTGATTTTTTTTTTCGTTGCTTTCTTTTCAACAGTCATTCGCTGCCGCTGCCGCTGCCGCTGTCTTGCGGTTTGCCGCTCTTATTTTTATTTGCCTATCTATTTATACAGTTTTTGTTTTCGTTTTTGTTTTGATTGTTTTTGTGTTTATGTGTATTTATTAAGCCTCGCACCCGCCAGGCAACACCCGCTCTTTTATGCCCGGTTACATTTTTTATTTCTCTATCGAAACTTCATTGTGCATTTCATTCAAAAAAAAAAAAAAAAAAACAAAAACAAGGTAAAAGTGAACTGCAATAATAATGTTATGATTACGATACGCAGACCAAAAAGTAAAAGTTGTGCCAAAAATAAAAAATCACTCATATACTCATATAACCTCCTACATATACAACCCCCACACCTTATTTTGTTTTGGCGTTTCGCTCTCTTCTCCCACTCTTTATCGCATTACTCATTATTGACTCCACTGACACTTTTAACATGCTACTCACACACACAAGCAGATTCTCACACATACACACATGCATGAGCACAGCAGATGCGTGCTGCAATTGCAATTTAGCTACTCTGCCAGCGTCGACTGCAGCAGAGACAAGGCATCACCATTTGCAGCTGTAAATTACCTTGGTTCAACTTTTATTTGATTAGTTTTGTCCGTAGCATTATGACATAAGGCAAAAGTAAAGCCTTTGTTCGGCCTGCATGCAAAAGTAGGTGAACTATTCAAGTATAACGCTCTCCAGTTCTCTCATTTGTCGCTTTGTACGTGAATTGTGTAAGCTTTGGATTTATCAGCTCCATATTTGAATTTATACAAAGTTCACGTACACAAATGCTTAACAGGGTTGCGTTTGTATGAATAAATAAATAATATAGAGTAAAGCCAATCACTTTTATATATTGATAAATTTGTCGTGTTTTACCCAAACAGTTTCCATTTCTATTTACTAGTTACATAAAGACATTTTATTTTGGAAAAGGGTTTTAAATAAAAAATATAATAGAAGATTTTGTACATGATGTTTACAATATTAAAGTAATTCTAATATAAAACTTTTGGTCTGTTGAGAATTTAATATATACGCTGAAAATTATTTTGTTATAAAATGTGTTTTTTTTATTTTGTCTTAAGTTGGTCTCTGTTTTAATATTTTCTATGTTTTCAATAGTTTTGGTTATTTTCACGTATTCGCTCCACTGTCTCAAGTGTGCCCTTTTTCAATTTATTTCTTAGCCACGACGCGCTTCAATTCCACCTCCTCGCTCCATCACCGCGTCTTCTCGTTGCCACTCAAAAAAAAAAAAAAAAAAGCGAGCATATCTTCAATTTTATACTTCAGTGGTGTTGTCGCCCCTCCCTTCTGCCTGCATCGGCGCCCCTATTGTTGTGTGATAGGCACTGCTACTGGCGGCGGCGGTGGCGGTGGCGTCGACGGCGTCGTCGCACTCAACACAATTATCACAATTTTGCTTACTCAGCTTCGTCAGAGAAGCTAGTGACGCCCCCATGCCCGCTGTCCCAATGCATGGCCCACAACTATGAACCGGCAGAACAACAACAACATACAGCAACAACAGTTGCTACCGTCCGTTCGGCAACGATAAGGTCTTAAATAAGCATTGACTTCCTCACTTAGACACTCGGGAATACACACGCACGTACACACACACACACAGAAAGTTGTATCTTAGACACACACTCGTACTTTACATCATCAACTAAAATTTTGTATTTATTTAAAAACTCTTTCGCAATTTGCAGGCAAACTGGAGAAGACAATCGCCGAGTGCAGCATTGAGAGCGAACTGGAAACGGAGACGAAAGTTGTGCGGCGCTTAAAAAACATCTTAGATAAAGAAATACAAGAGATCTCAACGCTAAAGCGTAATGTGTCGCGCACACTACAAGAATATACCTCACTGAAACGCAGCCATGAGGTAAGTTTTCCCAATCCTAACCGAAACATGCAGCGCATAAATCTTTTTCTCTCTGCATTAAATGTATTATGCACAGTAAAAAAGTTAGATCGAGTAATATTCTTTGACTATATTTCTTATAGAAAATTAAATTAAAAATAAAAGTACACCCAGTTGGTCGTTGAGTAAATCCTTTAAAGGTTTTGCCGTTTTGAAAGCACTTAATAATTTAAAAAATAATAATTATACCATAAACCCATGTTGATAGGGGTAAAATGTGTAAAATAGTTTCTTTTAAATTCATAAGGATCCATCTTCGACTCCAGTCGTATAAGCCCGTCAATTGTTTTCATTAAATTGGATAAAAATCGATATCGAAATCGTGTTTTTGAGCATACCTCAGAGCTTACAGGTGCTAGATATATCAAATCTCTATATATAAACTGTCCTGACTGACTGATTGACTGATTGATTGGTGATCAATGCACAGCCCAAACCGCAAAAGCTAGGAAGCTGAAATATTCATTGTATAAATTCCACCCATATGTGTGGAAAAATCTCGAAAAATGGTTACATGAAAGTTTTTTTCTTACCGCCCGATCGGCTTGAAAAATATTTTCACAGATCTTTGCGAGAATATATTTGATTAGTTCTTGAGTGGCAAATGCAGATCAAATGCAGATAAGCGAAAGATTAGTCATCAGCTTTAAGATTCTCACGGCAAGCCTAGCAAGGGCTAAAATCGTTAACTCCAACGCCTGGATCTTTATTTGATGCAGTTAAAACGTATTTTTAAACAGAAGTGGAGATCAAGATGGGTAGATTTCAACAATCCACAGATGTGTACTTAGTGGAAAGGTAATATCTAATATTTTTAGCACAAAACGTTCCATGGGCAAGGCCAGGCAATACCCGCTAGTTTGATATATAGGCTCTTGAATATCTTAAATATAATCAACATTTATTTACTTTGAGAACATTTTTTATCTGATTAGTTTTTGCTACTTTTGCAGCGGGTCAAGTTCTTTGTGATAATAGCGTAGCACTTATCCAAATTGAGGAATTCGCTTAGAATACGCAATTGCAAAGCGGAGCGTCAAAGGCGTCAAAGTATGACAATAACAATAACAATAACATCAACAACAATAACAATAGCAATATTAACTATTTATACAAGTTCTCCGTTTGATTGTACCGTGTGCGTGTGCGTGTGCCCGCCTTTAAATGGAGCGCAAAACACAATGCACAGTGGGCCGAGAGTCATTATTTATGGCACGACAAGCCTCGTATAACAAACATGATTCTCGATTTTGTTTAAATAATGCCACTTTATTGCTCGTAAGATAAATAGAAACTTAGTAAAATGCAATTGAGTTTAATTAATAATGGGATTAATATCGTTTTGTGGGTTTTCCAAGGTATTTTTGTGTACCGTCAACAAATACTCCTCATTAATAAAAAAAAACGAGTGCAAGTTCGTATTTTAATGAGTTTTTGTTGAATGGAAAAGCGTTCAATTTACTTTCCAATTATTTTAATTGAGGTTAGGTAAAGTTGTGTACTCTATATTCTTCTCATTATCTGATAGGATTCCCTATCAAATGGAATTCTTTGTTTTTTGTTTAAAACTGATAAAAGTTTCTAGGTAATTTAGCTTGTATTAACTTATTTATTATTGTTGTTTTGAACTTCGTTTAATGTATTTTACTTGGTTTTATATAACATGAAAATGTTACTTTACAGAGTGTAGTTTATTATGTTACTTAACATACCGTAAAAGTGTTTATTTTATTTATACTTATTCATATTACAAATATATGTTAGCTCTCTGGGAATATTTGCTCAGTTACTTTTTCGTTCTAGTCATTATATTCTCTTTTACAATATAAAATAATCTCTCACACGTTTTGCATCATTTTCCAATTGAGTTTTAAGCACTGTTTTACATATAGCCGCAACCGGATGACAAGCGCCAGGCAAGAAAGCAATCAATTCTTTTTCTTCTTTATAATTTCAGTATATGGTTTATTTCGTTCTTTTTCATTTTTATCATCTCACAATAGAATTGTTGCTATTGTTGTTATTGCTTTGTTGTTATTGTTGGGCCAAGCTGTTCGATTTATGCGTCGCTTGGCGTCGCTTGTCTTTATGATATGGTCGCAGGATTGTTTGACATTTTGAACGGTTGCCGTTCCAATTTCTCTAGCTATTGAGCTGACTTTTGGCGGTACGGTAAAGTCTCTACTAACAGGCAACTTCTCTCATTTCTATAGCATCGATATTTACTAATTTTTAGAAGTGGGCTTTTAAGCAATCTTTTTTTTTTGAACTACAATTAAAAGCTCTTAAATATTCAGTTTATGTGTGGATTTTTCCTGCATTTTCAAAATATCTTTTAAGTTTACCATTCTGAATAGGATACATTTTGTGTATGGGCGTTCGCTCTAGTGAGCTTCTACTGTATAGCTTTTACTCTGGTTTTGCCGTTAACATTTGACGATTACCTGACAAATTTTGTGACGATGTGGTCAACTTTTATTCGTACCTTGTTTTTATGATGATTTTCTTTATTTTATTTAATTTTTTTTGGCATTGCTTTCCGTTTTACAAGCCAAGACAACTTGACGACACGCTTTATGCCTTATATGGGTAGTCGAGTTATTGTTGTTGTTGTTGTTGTTGTTGTTATGGCTGCTTAAGGTGTCGGAAGACGTTCATTGACTTTGGCCGGACACCCAGTGACATCATAATTGAAAATTGAGGCAATGAGCGAGCAAGTCGCTTGGAATAACATCAGACTAGTATTAATTGTCCACTCGTATGTCATATCAAATTTACGTAGAATTTCTTAAAGTTTATATGTGGCTATAGTTACCATAATCTTATCGGCACACCATAAAAATTAATGCGACTCTGGCACTGGCTGGCAGCTAATCGACAGCTAGTATTTCATATTGGGAGCGCTCTAATTGAGCCTTATATGCGATATATGCGACATACTTATATACAAATTTTGTTGTTGTAGTACCTTGCAAGTGTGCTAACCTTTGGGCAGAGCTGGGGGGAATGTTTGTTATGTTTGCAAACCGTCTCGCATACCCGTTTTCAACTCTAATGTAGGTCATTAGAGGTTATTACTTATAGTATACAAATGGGCAGGTTGTGAGTCATACGCTGACTGCTATTGAAAGATGTTGCTTTGGGTTTAGTTTATAATTAGCTGGTAGATGACATTGTTTGCTCATTCATTGTTGCGCATTGAGAGAGATAGAGATACAGGACAGAGTAAGAGAAAAGCAGAGAGTGAGTGAGAGACTTCAGTTTGTCACGATTTTGCTTATTTTTAGCTAACTTACGACTATTCGATTTATTGACTTAGGGGTAAGAGAGAATTGTACCGCGCGACGCGATAAGAAATATTATACAGCAAGCATTGTGCATACGTCTGATTAAATACACTAACTAGCTAGCCAAGTATTTCCATAAATAAATGTGAAGGGACCCAGAGACTCCAAGAGAGACTCCAAGAGCAATTCGGTATATATAATTTACAGATATCCAGAATATTTTACTTATTTGTCAATAGACCTGCTACCTTATTTTCTCTACCTTGACCTTGGGCAAACTGTGCAGTATTAACGCTTAATATCCCATATTAATTACTTCAAGATGTATCGCATTTACCGCATAAGCTCAGATCCGATTTCAATTGTTTCAATTTATAATATAAATAAACATACTTTACAAATACTATATTATACGGATGCGCATTATTATGTGCTTCAGCTTAAGTTTTAACTTTTGGACTCTATTTTAAATTTAGATATATATTTTCTCACTCTTTGTGCGACCCTATTCAGAGCTCTACTTAAATTCAGAATTTTCTTATCAATATGTCGTTAAGTTGAGAGCATGTTAATACCAAAGCTATGAGTCAAAGGTGCAACGCAATGCGGTATGTCAATTACCCGCAAATATCGGTCAGGCTGTGCACACGCCCATAAAAATGTACAATATTTACCTTGTAAATGTTTCCATTTGCGTGTGAAACAAAGAAATTGATTACTGCAACTGGTCACAGCGTATTTTTATTGGCCCCATTTAAGGGGCGAGTGGAACAATCACAGACACTTGTCGCGCAACAGCTGCCACCTTTTAGGTGGGCATAGATAAGGGGCAAGCAGAGGTACTCAGTGTGAAGAAGCGTGTGAAAATGACGCCAGTGGCAAACAAAAGAAAGACCAGCGAGATAGATTTCTTATCTGTTTGACTTAACTAAACTTACTCTCCGCCTTCGCTCTTTTCACTTACAGGCCGCCATACGACTGGATGAGCCCGCGGCTAAGGTGAATCATATTAAGGGCCAGCAGGAGGAGTGCGAACTGAAGCTGGAAAAGGAGCGTGATGCGTGGGCGGCACAAATGCTGGAGCTTATTGCCAAAGAGGACGAGATTGTCAGCTGCATACGTGACTATGTGCTCAACCAAAGAAACTATCACGAACGTGCGCTGCAGCATGTGAATGAATCGCTGGCGCGCATTCAGGATACCATACAGGGCACGGAGAAATCGCGATTTGGCACCTCGCTCAAGGAGCATCTGCAGTCGACACATCGCGACATCTCCTACATTGTGGAGCTGTGCTGCTGTTGCCTCCTGGAGCATGGGCTAGAGGAGGAGGGTCTATTGCGTGTCGGCTGTGCCAGCACAAAGCTGCGACGCATGAAGCACGCACTGGAGGCTCAGCACGTGAAAACACCCCTGCCACTGGAGTATCAGGATCCGCATGTCATTGGCTCCATATTGAAGCTATATTTGCGTGAACTGCCCGAGCCACTGCTCACATATGCGTTATACAAGGATTTTATACGCATTGCGGAGCGACACACCGAGGCGGAGCGCAAGACGGAGATTAAAGCAATATTGGGCAAACTCCCCAAGGAGAACTATGCCAATCTGCGCTACCTCACACGCTTTCTGGCGCTGCTGCAGCAGCGGGCCGTGCACAATAAGATGAGCTCTCAGAATTTGGCGATTGTCATGTCACCGAACATGCTCTGGCCGCGCGTCGACAAGAGCAGCAATGCCCCAGCCGATTACATTGGCCAGGTGAACAGCTCCTCGGCAGCGAACATTATTGTCGAGCTGCTCATCAGTCAGTGGGACTATTTTTTTGATGGCGATGTTGAGTTCTATGTGACTCTGCAGCGTCAAAAACTTTTTGTCGAAGGCAAAAGCAAATCGAATTCCTCAAATGAGCATTTGGATAAGCACGATAGTGGTGAGTACTGAGCCAACCGACCATTCAGCAACCCCTTTAACTCTCTGCTTGTCATCCTAGAAGTCATGGAGAGTCCGCGCTATGGCACGCTGCGCCGCCAGAAACCGAATGCGCCCTCGCCGCCTACCAAAACGGAGGCCACCAGCAATGGCGTTGGCTCCAATCATCGTCCGCATGCCAAGGAGCTGTTCCCGCAGCAGGACGAAAAGCCGGAGAAGCAGGAGAAGCCAGCAAAGCCGCCGCTACCCAATCTGGCGCAGTTCCAGCAGCCGACAGCGTCCAGCCAGCCAACGCACACACAGCTGGAGGCGTTGCCGCCGCCGCCAGTGACGCCCGCCAAACCCGTACCCATGACGCGCACACAGTTCTTTGGCTTGGATAATCTGCCCTCGCCCACGGCGGATCGCAGGAGCATCGATAGCATTGGCAGCTTTCGCTTAAAGCCAGATGTGCCACAAAAGCCGCAGCTCCCCAAGCGGCCCATGGTACTGGCTGTGGGCGGCGGCGGGCCGAAGGGCGACAGTAAAAGCGACGATGAGGCCATAACACCCACGCAGGCGACCATTGACAATAGCAATGGCAATGTACGCTACACCACGGAGAAGTTTATAGAGAAACTGCGACATGAAAATTGTGATACAAATGGCACGCGAGAGGAGGCGACAACGGGGGCACCGACAAATACAACAACTAACACAACAACAAATACGACTACAACAGCAACAAGCACAGCCGGCAAGGAGCACAACCATAATCATGAACAGCCGCTAACAGTGGGAGATAAGGAACAGCAGCCGCAAGCCACGCCTACCACACCCATATCGCCAAACTCATTTCAAACGCCCAAAAGGCCAACGGTGCCAGCGCCGCCGCCGCCAACAATACGCAAACAGGCGGATTAATTGTAGTTAATAGCGAATCCTTAGTTAACCGGTGGCGCTTTCTATATGTTAACCCTAAGACTTGAACGCACATTAATTTAGTTAAAACAAAGCCTTTCAATAAGTTGCATTAAATATATATTTGTATATATATATATATATATAGAGTGAAAGCAACTTAATTCTGTATTCAGCATTTGTATTCTTTGCAATTTAAACTGTATGTGTTTTATTTTAGCCATATGTTTAAAGATATACATAAACGATATATATACACACACCCACATACATATATATATTTATATATATATATATATATATATATATATATATATATATTACAAACATACATATATGTTAGTCTGTAGTAGGCATTCATGAATTAACTCAATTTTGTCGAAATTTCACGCGAAAAATGTTCGTTTAAAAAAAATTATTGTTATCCTTATTTAAAAGGTTGTGATACACAGAAAAAAAAAAGAAAAATGAAGGTTTGTGTTTCCTTAACTTTCCGTTGCTCTTGTTTCCCAATTTCTGAAAGACAATTTCTAATGTGATTTGAAATTTGTTGCCTTTGTTGTAAAATTTTTGTTACGCTTTGTACTTGATGTTGGGCTAATTAAAAAACAACCAACTATTCTTTCCAGTTCGAAAAGAAGTAAAGCAAAACTCGAGCGTATTTTCTATGTACATATAGTATATAGTTTTAATTGAGGTCTTATCAATTTTAATTTGATGTACTCTGTATTTTTGCTTTATTAATTTGTAATGCAACTATTATTATTATTTTAATCTATAATAAACTGATGTATGAATATTTGTTGTGTATATAAAATATACATTAAAAAGTCATTTATGAGTTCATAAACGAAATTTTTTACAAATTTTATTTTGTATATTTATATTTGAAAGTTACAATCTTGAATAGGATATAGCTGAGCGTTTATTCAGGGCCTATAAAATATTAATATATAAGCACACAAATGTAAGTGAAATAAGTTTGAGAAAAATCAAAGCACTTGATTGTAAGATATATAGATCTAGAAGGAACCTCTATAGCTATTTATAAGCTTATAGGCAGTTCTATAGAACTCTACACAGGAAGATCTATATAAAAAGCTAGTAACCAGTTGTCGGCGTTTATCTGCGTTAAACTATTAAGCAATATTTTCCTCCTAGCTATAAACAGCTCTATTTAATTTTCACTTAGAATTTATCTTTTATATCTATGAAATATCCCATTTCTAAGCTGAACTAGTTAAGAACCAGGCACATTTAAGTCTAAGATATGCTATTATTCAAACATTTTCAATCTCAAAGTAACCTCACAAGATAATGGATTAATCGAAATACTTGTGCCATAATAGAATTGAATACCTGAGCAAACACTTCTAAGAAAAGTAGAAATTTTACTAAAACAATGAATTTGCACCGTACAACATAACACTATCATATCTATACAAACACACTATATTTTCCCACTCAAAAAATGAAGCAAGCATTAACTTCTATATAGACGCTTAAACTGAAAGCAAGTGAAAGGAATTGTAAAATTTATATAAAAACTGCAATTGCCAACGGTTAAAAAAAGAGACCAATTAAAATGAAAAAGAAAACAAAAGGCAAAAATCATAAATATAGTATTTTAGTAAGCTGAAAAGTTCATATAATGTTGAGAAATTTTTGAAAAATATATTCTGCTACAATACTTGAATAAAAACGTTCGAAACATTTGCAGCATAAGTGATTGTTGTATTTCAAGAAGATCATATACAATATGATTAAGCAAATATATTAATATATAAAATCCATTTATCGTATAAGAACATAGAGTATATATTATGATATCAAACAATTTAAGAAAAATGCTATATTTCTTAGTTGTAAGCTAGCTTATGGAGCTGTCTGCAGCGCTACAAAAATCAGGCAAGGCATGGGCGCCTGTGATGTTAAGGAAGTACAGCAGCAGATGGGAGTTAGCTGCTGATGGCTTTATGGCGTTTTCTGAAACTTTTTGTACTGCCCGTTGCTGTGGCTGTTCCTTAGTTTCCAGCTCACGCACATACTCCATAAAGTTATCCACATTCAGAGGCGTCTCCGCGGCTTGCTTTGCATTGCCGCCCGCTTGGAGCTTACTTTGAAATTCGCTGCGATAATAATCATTAATCATGGACATCATGCTCTTGGAATACCTAGTGGGTGGGAAATTCAATAAGAAATATTTACATAATAATAAGTATACACATATAGCTTAGCTGTACCAATAGATGATGCCTATAAGTAACATGCCCTGCATAAATGGGCCAACCATTTTGTCCGCTCAAATTTTTACTTAAATCTTACGCAAGTTCTATTGTTGCTGTTGGCGTTCACGAAAGCTTTCCCACCATTGATTAAGCATATAGAACTGTTCCCTAATATTCGGCCAGGCCATGGTAACAATTAACATTACGGTGTTTGCGAAGACAAAAAGTTTCATCATCTCAAATGCTGAGAGGGGCAAGAAAAAGATTCATATAAATAGTCATGCTTTGAATTTATATTTTTCTTGGGCATTTACAGACCCTCCGGCGTGCGCAGATAATCCCCAAAGCCGGAGTTCAGATCCTGGTCTTGCTCATCCTTCTGCTCATGCAGCTGCTGATCCTTGTTACCCTTGCTTTTGTCCTCCGACTTGTCCTTGTGGCCGCCGTGCCCGTGACCTTTGCCGTGTCCGCTCTGCTTGTGCTTGCCGTAGCCTGTTGATGTATTGGCAAAGGCAGATTTCTTGGATTTCATTGCATCCAAATGGACCACAAACAGCAGTTTCTTGTAGCCTGCTTATCCTTGTATACGACTGCTGTTGGCCACTTCCCAACGACACGAAAGCTGCTCCCACAATGACAAGTCGCCACAATTAGTGGCCCTATGCTGAGACTCTTGGCAATTTTATGGTTTCGTTTTTATTGATTTGCAATTCTCACTAGTTCTTTTGTTGGGTGGGCAGGCAAAATCAGGTGAATTTACGGACACAAAAAGCCTGTCAGTAGAGCAATGCGCTTAAGATATCTATGCCCATTATTTTGGTGTCAGCCTCGAACGCGGAATTGGCTAGAGCACAGGGCAGGGGAAATGAACGAGGTCTTGGCTTGCCGGGTGTATTAACAAAGTTCTGAATATATGTATGGCATATATTTACATAGATATTTTTGATTATAATATCAATATTATCTAATTTAATTCACACTCTTTGATTGGATTCATAAACACTTGAAAGTTATTTGAGGTAAAGGCAGAGGAATATTCCTACACATTATTATTTGCATTTAATAGAAAGATTTCCAAAGGAATTTCAAGAGAGGTTCTTTGTCTGAGACTCTTTTGGTTAACTAATCTATAAAACTGACTGGGATTCAAACTTAGATCCTCGCTAGTTAAGGCTTATAGATAATCACAAGTTTTTTCCTAGCTAAGCTAAGGTAATTCTAGGAATAAAATTTACCTATTACTCAGTAAATTGTTCTAACTATCACATATTACAAATGCGTGCTGTAGCAGTCAACTTCCTTGTGCTGCTGATTCGTCTCCGGCTGGTGCTCCTGCTCCTGCGTTGCCTTGAGGGGCGTGCGCAGGCAGCAAGTGCAAATGCCGCCCAGAACAACCAGCACACAGAAAGTGGACAGAGAGAGGGCAATGTTGAGCTGCTTGAGCACCGTGAGAAACGAGGCGGAGAGCAGCCAGACACGCGCCCACGTGACCACCGAGAAGGCAAAGGTGCTCCGTTTTTGCGGCGGCAGAGATTCACCCATGCATGCGATGAGCATGGACTGAGCGCAGGATACGCCCGCCTTGGGCAGTGCGGCAAAAAACATCCACAGGATAATCTCATAGACTTCGGGCACTGAAAGCTGCAGAGGATTAGTAATGCTTAAGTTGAGCAAATATTTGTATATATATAAAAACTCACTCTGTACATCATTGAAGAACCAGCACAGACAGCCCACGGTGCCACCCACAATGCAGAAGCCACCCGCCCACTGCCACTTGCGGAAGTTGTGCTTCAGGCACAGGTAGACGGCTAGCAGGCAGCCAAGCAGCTCCGCCAGGCCTATGGCCATGGTATTGGGCGACAGGTAGTCACGACCAAAGGAGCGTATATTCAGCAGCAGACCCATGTGGCTGATCAGAAAGGTGGCCAGTGCCATGTGCGTCGCCAGCATATGGAGCTTGGCTTGCGGATGGCCATGCCAGAGCTCCAGCCAACGTGCGGACGCAGGCTGCGTGCGCAGCCGCTCGCTCAGCTGCTGCAGTTGCAGGCCGAGATCACGGGTCAGCCGGTGGCTGCGTTCATTGATGTGTGCCGCGTGCTGCAGCAGCTGCTGGACATGCTCGATGGCAGCAGTTGGCTCCGCATGCTGCAGCAGCCAGCGCGGCGAGTCCGGCAGCCAGGGCAGCAGCAGGACAATGGCAAATGGCAGCGAGGTAATGCCTACGTAGATCTGTCGCCAGCTGTGAGCAAATGCAGCAATAGCCGGCAGCAGGATGACGCCAATGGACCAGAAGCTGTCATAGAGCAGCAGCACGCTCTGCCGCCACTTGCCCGCCGTTATGTCGCTAACTGGAAAGGCGAAGAATGGAGGATGCTTAAGTGCTTGACTTGGGCTACAAGCTATGGCTATACCCACATATAACCTGACCGGCGGTCATCATGAAGCAGCAGCAGACCGCGGACAGGCAGCGGAAGGAGCAGTGCAAACTGAAATCGTTTACCAGCCCGGTGGCCGTGCCACAGCCGAGCAGGCCCCAAATGCCGGCTATGTAGACCCGACGTGGACTGAGCACACGCATCAGCCGGGTGGCCACAACGCCGCCGACAAACATGCCGAACAGATGCCAATACTGCGACCAGGCCACAAAGATATCAGACAGGCAGACCAAGTCGAATTCCATGATGAGCGAGCGAAAGCTGTAGGCATAGTTAAATTGCTGGCACTTACGCATGGCAAAGTTGCCCTCACCATAGGCGACCAGCACATAGCACTGATCCGCGGAGACACTGGTGTTCTCCATGCCGCCATAGACGTTCGTGTCGCACCAATATTCCTCATTCGGATACAGTTCCGGCGCAGTGAATATGATTAGGGCCATGAACCAGGCAGCGGGCAGCTTGCACAGAAAAATGATCAGCACAGAGCGCAGCTGCCAGATGCCAAAGTCGCCCAGCACCTGCCCGATCACATCCTGCCCAGTTGTTGAAACTGCTGCCACATCCTGCTCCACATCCTGGCTGCCGCTTATATAGCTTAGCTGGACATGTGCCTCCGCCTCGTTCGTTTTCCTTTGGTCACCATTGGGCCTGTAGCTTCCGTCCATCTTTTAGCTGTGTACATATATAATCCAGTAGCCACGTCTGGTGGGTTTCGAACCTCCAGCATAACTGCGACTGCGCTAGCGCTTGGCGCAGCCAGCTGTAGCTCTGGACAATTGCGGAGCAGAAGGCACAGTTGGTGCTACTCAACGATATCGTCGCTAATCAAATTGTCACTTTAATAAATATTCAGGTGTCTTCAATTGTTCTCCTTTTGCAAATAGCGACTGCTCCTAAACGATTATGTCAATATGTCTTGTTTTTGTAAAGGTTTTCCATTAGGGCTATAATACTATAGACGCAAACTTTTGCCAAGACACTGTTTAGCGTTTTATAAATGATACGAATTTCACGTGACGTCCTTTATTAATCTATTTGTAATGTTTGGTAAGCTCAGAAAAAGATTCCGACTCAAAAATTTACATAATTTTACGCTCTCTGTTTACATAATAGAAGCAGGACTCTCCGTCTAGGCCCTCAGTTTTTTAAGGACTTTTCCCTTATATTAGCTTATCTTAGTTCGTTTATGAATATTTTATAGTTTCTTAGTTCGTTTATGAATATTTTATAGTTTATGCATATGAATATTTTAAATAATTTATGAAATAGCTTTTCAACGCTTTTACTTGAAGAGTTCTCAAAATTTACTTTTATTTGTGGGACGTTTCTCTAATATAATCGACTTATACTGTTAATTATTAAAGAGTCTCTCTTACTTTTATTTAAAGATATATTATGTATATAAATATTTGTATTTAAACATATATTTTTACAATTTTATATATTTACAACTACGATTATTGGCCAGCCAAAAACTCGTTAAACCTTGAATATACTTCAAAAAAGGCCGTTATTACCCTCTATATATATTGGGACAGCGTTAATATTTATATTATATATATTTATAGGATCAAGATTTTTATTAAGCCTACAATCTTTGGAAAACCGCATAGTAGAAAGAGAGGGGAAAAGTTTTCAGCCATGCTTAAAGCTATTTTAGCCGAGACTCCAACCTATAGTTTCTTACAGCGCCACCTAGCGGATGTACAATCAAATAGAACCAAATGGGTTTCATGTGGCTTTATTTAATCTGTTTAATTTGAATGATGAATTGAATACATAAAAAAAAACAGTCAGCTCTTGTAGAAACTAAATGAAAATAATAAATATTAGTTGAGTTCTAAGAAAGATAGAAACTTTTTTTTAAATTTCTTAACACTTCCTAAAGTATGTTAGATTATGCTTTTTGTATTTTTTTTTTCAAGTTTTTCGATCGCTCTCACTGTCAAAAATTTAACTTTTATTCAGGAATCTGAAGGCAGAATATGATATATTGTTGAGGTTAAGTTAAGTTTACTTGGCTAAGTTCAGAGTATTTAAGGTTTTATGTAAGGATAGGTTTATAAAAGTAGGGTTAGGTAGGGCTTGCTTAGGTAGGCTGAGATTAGTTTAGGTTGGATAAGATAAAGCGATACAGTTAAGGTTAGCTTAAGAAGGCGACTAGCTCAGGGTCGTGGCCTTTTGGCCTATTTAAGTAGACTTATGTAAGTTCCCGCCAAGGTGTTACGTGACAATTGTTTACGCCGCAAAGTTTAAGCCAATTCAAGTCCAAACTTCATTCAAAAGTTGCAAAAAACTTGTTTTTATAGGATTTTGAAGAGTCTGCTGTTGTTTTTGTTGTTGTTAAAGTCTTTTCACTTTCATTGCAACAACAATTAGCCAAGTTAAGTAAACGACGTTGCAGTTGCAAGCTGAGAGAAAAGCCCCTGCAAACAGTTGCATTCAGGCCACGACAGTGGCCACAACGTGCTGTAGCCAGATATAATGGAAGCCCAGTTGGATATCTATAAAGATGCAGTCGTCTTCATCACAGGCAAGTCTTGAATAACTAATTATTACTATTTATATTTTCTTTATGCACTTTTACTCGATAGGTGCCACTGGTTTCGTTGGCAAAGCGCTGCTGGAGAAGCTGCTCTGGAGTTTTCCACAAATTAAACGCATCCACATGCTCATCAGAGCCAAGGCTGGCGTCTCGCCTGAGCAGCGTTTCCAGAATTTCCTACAAAATTGCATATTCCAGCGTTTGCGCAGCGAATATCCAGCACGTCTTCAGAAAATCTCGTATTTTGCGGGCAACATTGAGGATGATAATTTTGGTAAGCGTCGAAGACAAGTCGGAGAGTGAAAATATTGAAAACAACATTAAAGCTTTTGCGTTTTTTTTTGTTTTCAATGCCAACAGGTTTGAATGAACGGGACAGAGGCGAGCTGTGCGCGCAGGTTAACATTATTTTTCACAGCGCCGCGACGGTAAGTTCCAGTTTTATACAGACTGTTCATATACATATAGGTATTTAGATAATGATTGCTCACAGGTGCGCTTCAACGAGTGCCTCAATGTGGCAGCACGCGTCAATTCCGTGGCCACCTACAATTTGCTGGAGATGTGCAGGCAAATGAGGGAACTAAAAGTAAGTCTTTAATTTATTCCTACGGTTTCTCTAAAAATCAAGTTCGAACCGATTAGTATAAAATAATGGTAAAGTAATTGAGAAACTTCTATGTACTTCAAAGGCGTTGAGATACTTTTCTACTTAAACCTAAAATTGGATTATTTTAACGGATTTCCTAAAATTTCAATAATTGCAAGTGTAAACAGCTTAGTAGCTTTCATATACTTTAACAGCCTTAAGGCACTTTGTGACTAATGCTTATTTTAATGCTATGAAATGAAAATATAAGTTTAATGTTAAATTCCTCAAAATTAGTAGAATTGCTAATAAATATCTTAAGAAACAAGCAATAAAAAAGGAAGCGCTTAAATATAATTACACAAGCTATTTTAACAATTATACAGAACTTAATTTACGGTTTTTATCGATTTAAATCTAATGAACTTTCGGTGAAACTGTAAACTTCATTAAAAGCCTTTAGAAGATTTCCAATTAGTGTTGGAAAACATGCAAATCAGAAAGACACAGTGCTGGAAAACTAATAATAGAAGTAAAGAAAACAATGCTTAAGTTTAACTATTTGTTATTATGATTGTCTTCTACTTGCTTTATATTCATCTGTATTTAATCTTCTATGATTTATTTTTAATCTATACAACACTTATATTTTACAGCGTTTTCTCTACGTCTCCACTGCCTATTGCAATCCCGGACGCAAATATGTGGATGAGTGCATTTATCCCACACTGCCGCCCGTGGACTGGCAGCAATTTCTGAGCTGCACCAAGAAAATACCCGAAGACTATCTGAATCGCCTGGCCGACTATATAAAGGGTCCACATGTGAACACCTACACATTCACCAAGTCCATAGCCGAGCAGATTGTGAACTCCTACAGGCACCTAATACCCATTGTCATAGTGCGTCCCTCGATTGTGACGGCTGCCTATAGGGAGCCATATCCCGGCTGGATCGATAATATACAGGCGATCAGTGGCATTATGATGGAAATCGGCAAGGGCGGCATTAGCAGCATTTTGGGGGATAAGGATCTGATCTGTGATATTATCCCAGTGGACTTTGTGGTCAATGCGATGATCATGATGGTGCACAAGGCAGAGCTGGGCAGGTAAGTGGACAGCGGTAAACTTTTTAAGACTTTCTGACTCTAGATGGAGTTTCTTTACTTGCAGCATCAGCATCTGCAATGCCACATCGGGTGTAACGAATCCCATTAGCTGGCAAAGATTGGGTGATCTGACCATGAAATGGGCACGCATATATCCCACCAAGCGCATGATTATGTTTCCCAACTTCAAGTATCGTCGTGGCGCCCTGAGACACGAGCTCGCCGTGTGGATGCTGCATTTTGTGCCTGCTTTATTTATGGATCTGCGTACCTTGCTGCTGGGCTCCAAGCAGCGCTTTGTCACGCCCATTGCCAAGAAATTTCGGCAAGCCTGTCTGGCGGGTAGATACTCTACACACCTAGGATTTACATATCTTTCTAATATATATTTTCTTTATGCTCAGGCAGTTTCTTTTCTCTGAACGAGTGGATCTTTAAAAATCGCAGCCGGTTTTATTTTAAGCATTTAATTGACAACGGCACATTCCCCATGCTCTACTGGAATCTGGAAGAGCTCAATTATGATGATTATGTCAGACGTCATATGATAGGCATAAATAAATATTTACATCACGAAAAGTTTACAGTCGACGCGAATAAAATGCAGGTGACCAGGTAAGTTTCAATTAATTACTTGCCTGTATTAATCGGCTTTGTCAGGGCAAGTGTTTTTCAGTTAAATAAGAATTTCCCTTTTTTAAATTCGTAAAAAATTTAAATTGTTAGTTAAGCCTTTGAAAAAGAGTTTGAAGTGTTTCGGCTAAGAAACAAATAATTTTATACACCCATTTTCCATCAATTTTCCACCCTTTAAAGTGGAATTTCCAAAATAAAATAAAATTTTATTGTTAAATTTGAGATTCGGGCTGGGCGTTGATCTTCAATCAATCAGTCAGTCAGCGGTTGGCACGCAAATCTATGATTAATATCTTTCTTTGAATATTTGTAGAATCTATTGGTTCTGGATTTTTGCGCATCTGTGTTTCTATATGCTGTTGGTCTATGTGCTATTATAGACCTGTTCGTCGCTTTAATCGTCAATAATAAATTGCTTGGCTTTAACTAATCACAGAGAAATGAGTTTTATTAGCTAAATATATATAATGTATTGATAATATCTGGAAATCAAGAAGTACTTAATTTTTATAAGCGCGTGTTATGCACATCCGATTCGATGGTCCAAACGGGCGCATTAAGCGGCGATTGCTCCTTCTTGTCCTGCTGCTGCTGCTCCATCTGAGGCACCACAGGCGCCGCGGTGGTGCGGGGCGTCAAGAGCAGGCAGGTACAGATGCCACCCAAAATGCTGAAGACAGAGTACGAGGTCAGCGAGAGAGCCGTATCGATTTTTTTGAGTACATTGAAGAAGGGTGCGGAGAGCAGCCAAACACGTGCCCAGGTGACCACGGAGAAGACAAAGATCTGTTTTTTATTTGCCGGCACCAGCTCATTCATGCAGGCCAGGAGCATGGACTGGGCACACGACACACCCGCCTTGGGTATGGTGGCAATGATCATCCACAGCGAGACCTTCAAATCAGCATCCACTAAAATGCATTACGAACATTAGCTTTAGATATGGAGGAAAGGTTTTTTTTTGAGGCACTCACTGGAGTCGGCGCCCGTGAAGAGCCAGCCCATGCAGCCCAGCATGCCGGCGAGTATATTGAAGGTACCAGCGTATTGCCATTTCCACTTGTTGTGCTTCAGTGTGAAATGCAGCGCCAGGAAGCAGCCAATAATCTCAGAGAAACCTACAGGACGAACTCTTTAGTAAATACTCAGGGACTCAGATAGATATCAAGTATATCTCACCCATGGCTATGGTATTGGGCACAAGATAGTCTCGGCCAAAAGATCTGATATTCAAAAGCATGCCCATGAAATTAATGACAAAGAACGCCAATGCCAGGTGGGCAGCGACCATGTGCGTCTTGGCCCGTTTGCCCTGCCAGAGCTGCGTCCAGGGTGCAGGCGCAGGAGCTGCCTTTAGCTTCTCGCTGAGCTGTTCCAGCTGCTGGCGAAAATCAGGCGGTATTTTGAAGCAACGATCATTAATCGCGGCGCCCTCACGCACTATCTCCTCCACATTCGTAATGGAATGATGATCCACTGCGTGGCGGAGGAGCCAGCGCGGTGAATCTGGTGTCCAGTACAAGAGAACAATAAGCATCACAGTGGGAAATGTGATGCCCACGTAGATGAGCGACCAGCTATTGAAGAAGGACGAGAGTGTCGGCAGCAGGATGACCCCAATGGACCAGAACGTATCGTAGAGTATGATGGCGCCGATGCGATGCATGCCAGCCGTGATGTCCGTAACTAGAGGAACGTCAAGGAAGCTTTTTAAAAGATGCGGAAAAACAGGAATAATCAGCTTTATAAAACCTAAATACTACACCTGAAACACTCTTATAGGAAAGTAATATTTGGTAAAAACGAATGGAAAATTTAGTTAGGCTAATATTGTGAACTTAACTTGAAAGGGAAATTCGGGGAGAAATTCCCAAGAAACTTTAGAGCGAAAAGGGCTAAAGGCTTATGAAATTACAATTTTTGTTAGAAACTGGAGGTAAAATTACAGATTTTGCTGAATATTGCTGTTCACAAGAGATTCAACAGCTTTTGTGAAAGCTAAATACTAAACCTAATTTAAATGAAAATAAAAGTGAAATTTAAAGGGCTATTTGTAAGAAGCTTTTGGGAAATTAAGTTAAGTTAGTGCTGAGTACTTTATTTGAAAAGAAAATTCTATGAGAAATTCCCAAAAAAAAATATAAAGAGAACGAAATTTATAGGAAATTAAATTCATATAAAAATCACATTTTTCCAAGAAACTGAGGGGTAAGGTTACAGATTTTCTGTTCACAAAAGGATATTTGGTGTAATACTGATTTCGTAAAAAAGGGAAAATGCGAACAGTTTTAATAAGTAGTTGTATGGTTAGATGGATCACTTACATATGGCCTGTCCAGCGGTAAACATAATGGCGCAACACACGGCCGAGAGGCAGCGGAAGGCGCAGTGCAGGCTGAAGTCCCGCGCATAGCCTGTGACCACACCACACAGGATTTGAGCCACGGCGCCCACACAGTAGGTGCTGCGCGGACTAACGACCAGCATCATCTTGGTGCCCACGACGCCGCCAACTAGAACGCCAAATAGATGCCAATACTGGGTCCACGCAATGAAAATGTCTCGCAGGCAAACCAGATTGAATTGCATGATGAGCGAATCAAAGCTGGAGACATAGCTGAACTGCTCACATTCGCTGCGACCGCCTGAGTTCTCGTCCAGCACATAGCACTGGTTATCCGAGACGCTGTAATTGGAGCTGGAGCTGCTCAGATAGCTGGTGTCGCAGGAGAATTCCGTGCGTGGATACAGCTCGGGCGCGGTGAAGATGATGCAGGCCATGAACCAAGCGGCGGGTATTTTGCAGAGGAAGATGATGAGTATGGTGCGCAGCTGCCAGATGCCAAAGTTGCCCACCACATCACCAATGATATCGCTGCCAGGAGCTGTTGGAGCTGCTGCTGCTGCGGCTATTCCCCCACGCCCATCCTTGGGGCCGGCATGTGAGATGTGTCTATGCGATAGCTGGGGGCTGGACATGGGCGAATGACCGCCGACCGCCCGAATTGTGGACGCCTGATTTACCATTTTCCGAACACCGACCTAGAGGCACATGCCTCGCTTTAGCCACGTCTCGTTGAAGCTCTGTAAATGACAAATCGAATCGGCGACAATTTCCATCAGTTGGTGTGCGTGGCACATTGTGTTCATTTATTTATTTTATTTATGGATAAATATTAACATACGATATACTCTAAAAACATTTGTCTGCCCCTTTCGATGCACATACACACACACACACACACACCCTCCCAATCGCCACTCAATTGAAATCAATTGAAAGCGGTTACAGCTGAAATCAGTTGACTTTCCACGTCGAACGTCGAACGACGGACGAGAAACGACTGATGGCATTGAATATCATGCAAAATTCATCAAATTCCTGTGGTTCGAAATTTGAGCGAGGGATTGCCTTTTGGGCAAAGTCAAGCGTAAAAATTTGTGGGCACTGATTTAATATGCACTATAAACAATTTATAAAGCAAAGGAATTATTTATAAACCTACATATATAAAAGAAAAAGACTTTAGAGTATATTGTATCTTAGAGTTTCGTAAGCCTATAAATTTAATTACCACAATAGTTTAACAATTTAACACCACATAAAATAGTTTTTATACTCATATAAAGGGTATATTGAATTAATCATGGAATGTGTAACGCATTCAAAAATATATCTTTAAGATAATGTAGATATGGTATATATAAATATATATATATAGAGTATAAACAGTCTATGCAGCTAAGTATATCCATGTGTCTTTCTTCTCTCTCTATCTCTCTCACTCTCTCTCTTTTGCTATGCAATATAGTTTTTGACAACAATTAAGAGATTTGGCCTTTCGGCTTGATTGTGCCACAATACATATCAAAGAGCTGACACAAGAAGTATATGAAAATCAAGCTCTAATATTTAAAATTTTAAAGTGTTTTTTTTTCAAGATATTTTAAAGAATCGCCCCAGCCCTAAGCTCAGCTCTATGTCTTGCAACTCAAAGTAAATATCATCACATTTGTATATGGGGACATATTGTACAGAAAGAAAGAAAGAAAAAAACTTATAGTTATTTATACATTTGTTTCTTTTTTAATAGATAAGATTGTTGATGAGAAAAAACTAAAAGAAAAAACGATCTGTATGAAGCCAAGATTGTCAGTTAGGTTAGGTTAGGGGAAGATAATATAAATAATATATATTGCAATTTTACGAAAAATCTTAAGTATCAGATATATTGGCAACAATTACTTGGATTTAAAATAAAAGAGATTTCTATGCATTGAGAAATGCCGCACAAGAGCCATATGTCTGCAAGGGTATTTAATGTTCGGCGTCTTTATTTGCGTTTTGTTTCTAGTGTATTTTTTGTTTTCTTTAATTGCTTGTTTTTTTTTTTAATGTTTATCTGGAACTACCACAATCTAAAAAAACTTAACAATTTCTACCTTATTTGCTTTATTTTTTCTTCTTTCATTTTATTTCTTCAAGCGGCTTATCAATTTTCGAAGAGAAATGACATATAAATCGGCTTTATCGCATATATGATCATTGATTATCAGTCAGCTTTATTGTGTTTATCTGGCTTATATATTTGCCAAAGACAACTAAGATATGATGCCCTTTGTGGCCTTTAGGATGGCTTCCAATTGAAATGTCGGTTGGTTTGCTTGAAATCATGTGTACTTTTAATATTTGTCCGTTAATGTGAACCCTTTCCTCACAATTTAACAAATTTGCGACTTCATTTCACGAATCTCTCTCGCTAGGTGCTAATTTCGATTGATCCAACAACCTGAGCGGCCAATCGTCATGTGGAGCATATGCCATGGAACAATGGCCCGGGGCCACACATCTGTCGGCTGTCGCAGTTGGGCGTGCAAATATTTTAATTTCAAATTCATGCGTTAGTGCTAATTGCAGTGGGTCGCAATCGGCTATACGAAACTGGTTCCCCAATAATTCATATTTGAGTTTCCCATACGAATACCAATTGACACTTTTCCACGGGGCAACATTGGACAGAGGGCGTGGTGCGAGGGTTTTAATCAATAAGTTGAATTACTTGTTGTGCAAATGCAAATTATAAAGTGTCTGTGAAGAAGGGAGGGAGGGAGGGAGGTGGGGAATTTATTAATGGTTTGTTTTGAATATTTAATCTTAAGTTAATTAACAAAGCAAATGCAAGTGCTCAATTTCCGTAACTAGATCAGGAATTACAAATAGAATATGTTAAAAGCCTTTTAAAGTAAGGAAAAAAACCAGAAATATTTGAACCTAGTTATCTCCATGTATGTTTAGAGCTTGAATTTGACTATATTATTAAAAGTTCTGGATATATATATAGACATTCTATATATAGACATTTTATAGAAATTTTGTATAAAGAAAATGAAAATATTTCAGACATAAAACTATTTTAAATAAATATCTCCTGCATAGAACCTGAACAAATTCGTAGATCATAATTTCAATTTAAATATTTTAATATTTACTATTTTTATACAATAATAGCAAAAGAAACACCCAGCACTTTTGCATTATGTTTTATGTAAGACTGTTCTTTAAATTAGTTGGAGGCTTGATTTTAGGTGTATTTGCTTAAATAATTTACATATTTTACAGTCGTAGCTCACATTGGATACACTCTTTTCTTTTGGGGGCTGCCTTCAATTAACACATCGAAGCTTCGGCAATTCTGGTCGATTTATTTCTCCGTTTATGGCAGTATGTTTCTTTTGTTTTATTTATTTGCCGGCATACAAATTAATATCAAATTATTTAGCGACAGTAAACATGTCTGAGTGTGGAGGTCTATGCTCGAGTTGTGTTGTGTTTGGAAGGGGCTTTCGATATGCACAATGCACTCCCGTCTTTTTATCGAGCTGCGGTGCGCTAACGTCTCAATCGGTCGAGAAACGGAATCCAACTGAAGCTAGTGGCACACGAGTCGCCATACGGTGGCAGTATTTTGCCCAAAGACTCAGTCGGCGCGTTAATTTCTTTAATGAATTTGTGCAAATAATTAAAACTTATTGCGAGCGTTTCGGAAACTTTAACTTAAGCGCTTCCGTTGGCACTGTGTCGTGTCTTCTGTTTCTTGGCCGGTCTCGTGGCACCTCCTGTTTTAACAGGATATTGTTACAAGTCGTTCATAATTTCCTCTGCACACTTAATCAATAAAATTCCATATTTTATTATCCACTCGACTATTCGCTGTTCGCTGTTGTATTACTTGTGAAATATCTTGTCTGGGTTATGGGTTGGCTTTACATGCTAGATTATAAAACTGATCATATATATCTATAGCTAATTATCAGTACTTTAATTATAATCAAGAGCTATGCACTTATTGCATCTGGCATTCTAGTAATCTGGCTGATAAAAACAATTTTCTTACTGCTTTGCCTGCTAGGGGTTTTCTATTTTAATCTTTATAGAACTACCTGTCGCAATTGTGCTTGATTCTGCCAAATGACGCATTGGCATTTTATTCGTTTTGCTGACACAAAAAAGTTTTTTAAAAATAGGGCCTACATTTCTTGGCAATTAAATAAAGTGAAAAGCTGAAAAAAAATGCCCAAGTAAGCATAAGTAAAAATTATAAAATTAAACTTGTTTATTACAATTTTTTATTAATTCTATTTAAATTTCGATAAAATTCTGCATTTATTCGATTGTGTTTAAATTTTTTAGGTTTTATTACAAAGTTCCTAACAGACTAGTAGAAAGGGTATCAAAGAGCATACTGGGTTTTATGCAGGAACTAAAATGTTGTTAGACCGGGCTCGAAAATATTTCTATAATTATTATTTAACAAAATTACAAGTCCAAATAAAAATGTCATTGAAGAATTTTGCATTTCGTAGAACTGTCTTTGTTTGGGTTAGGTAAACTCCTAGTCGTATAATCTTTTTCTAGAATATTTCAACTGTTATCAGTTCTGAATATTATGAAACTCGTGTAACTCACTGCAAATAATTTATCTTTAGACTAATGAACTCGCATAGATCATTGTCCGTCTAACTATTGTTTTCTTAGTGAAGCTAAATAAATATATAAGCGAACCGCAGTGGTGCTATATAAAGGCACATGTAATATTTATACCAAAAATCGCAATAATTTATACCTTTCTTTTTTGGAGGTTTTGCCATTAGTGTATCACGCGCTTTGGTTACCTTATACTACTAATTGAACTTATACATCACAAATTAGTTAAATAATAATTAAAATGACGGCAATACTTCTATTTAATTCAATTAGCAGTGGATTAACGCAACTGACAGACAGAAAGCAACAATAAATATACACAATCCACTGACCCGAATAAAATGTGCTCAAATATGTGTGTGAAAGGCGGGACTCTGATACATTTATTGCTCTATAGCTTTGTTATATATCTTATAACTATTATACAAATATTCTTAATCTAATTTGCTCATCATATATATTAGGCATAAAATTGAGTTTTGCGAAGAAAAAGTGTTGCCTACTTTTAGGCAGCGTCACAAAATTCAAATGCTGTGCATGCTCTGGGACTTGAGTGCCGCATCATTGGCCTCCTTTAGGCTATCACATTCATGGATCGTACTGAAATTAATATGCCACAGATCGGCAATGCTAACAGCCACCGTTTGCTCAAAATTGCTGAGCAGCTCGTTGCTGTAGCCGCTCACATCGGAGCTGGCGGTGCTGCAGCGTCGCAGGATGACAGCCGAATTGCGGCGATAGGTATTAGGCGTGGGCACCTGACCCACCTGCTGCTGCTCCGTATTCCAATAGTAGCGATTGAGCAAACGCATAATGAGCCCGTACAGCCAGCCGAGTGTGGCAATTATCGTGATGGGCAGCAGGCGATGCACCACAGTCAGCGTGCTCAACAGCGGTGAGAAGACCAGGCAGAAGCGCCCGAAGCTAACCACGGAGAGCATGAGTAGCACACGCTTCTCCGGCGATACCATTTCACCTGTACAGGTGGTCAGCACAGCGATGGAAGCGGAGTTGGCAAATTTCAGCAGCATCCAAAACAGCAGCTCAAGGCCCACGCGGCGTGCATTGCGATCTGTGTAAGGAGCTTGTAGTTATATATATATACATATCTATACATACATATACATATATTTATATACCACTCACCACTCTCCGGCAGCAGCCAGACCAGATAGGTGCAAAATCCCGCTATGATCATCAGATTGCCCGTCCAGCGCCAATAGCGACGCGTATAGAGTATAAAATAGAGACCTACAAAGACGCCCAACATCTCGGCAAAGCCCAGCGCAGCGGTATTCACGTGCACCTGCGCCGCGCCCAGGCTGCGTATCATTAGCAATATGATGTTATACAACACCTGGGCACAGCCCCAGATCAAATGTATATAGACAAGTTGACGACGCTTTGTCTCCTTATCCCAAATCTGGCAATAGCTACTGCGCTGCTTGGCGGCCAGTTCGGTGGCATAGATGGTCAGCTTGACGTCCAGGGTCAGGGGCACCATGCGATTGTTATGCGTGGCCGATTCCAAGAGCAAACGCAGCGCCGGCTCCACACGTTGTTGGCGCAGCAGCCAGCGTGGCGCATCCGAGATCCACCGATGCAGCCAGACGAGCACAATCAGCGATGATGATATGGTCACATAGAGATGACTCCAGTTGTCAAAGTATATGGATATGGCGGGCAGCAGCACCAAGCCAATGGACCAAAAGAGCTCCGATAATGTGACCACCAAAATGCGTGCCTTGCCCGCCGTTATGTCCATTACTAAATGCGAACAGAGCTGAGCAAGTTTGTGTCTTAAGTCTTTTGCAAAACCTTACATATTACATGGCCGGCGGTATACATGAGTGTACAGCAAACGGAGGTGAGGCAACGGAAATAGATGTGCAGCTGATAGGTGTCTACCAGCCCGGTGAGATTGCCACAAAAGATCTGACCCAGCATGCCCAGCAGCATTAGGCGACGCGGACTAATGCTGTAAATAGGAGCACGGAAATTATCAACAAGCTCGTTGCGAGTGGATGGGAGTAGCACTCACTGTCGCAGCGCCTGATGTGCCAGCAGACCGCCGAGCAGAGCGCCGAGCGCATGAAAGGATTGAGTGAGCGCGACCAGCACGCGGCGCGAACAAATCAAATCGAATTCAATGATCAGCGACTTATACGCAGCATGATGCTCCACGCGCTCACAGGGCAGCATCGTCTGTTGCGTGCCATTCCAGCTCTGGCCGTAGCGCTGCACAAAGCTCTGGGACAAGCTCTGGGCATAGGCATTGCATACCTGCACGCTGAATAGCCGGTCCGTGTTGCGGCTCTCGTTCGGCAGCGGCTCGCTGTTATTCCAGTTGCCCGGACGGCAGACCAGTTCGCCGCGCTGCGGATACGGCGCTGTGTATATGATGACGGCCATAAACCATGCTGTAGGTATCTTGCACAGAAAGATTAGGAGTATTGTGCGCAGCTGCCAGCGCCCAAAGTTGCCATTGATATGCTGCACAATATCCACGCCCGGCGGTGGTGCCGAGGATCTGCGCCGCTGACAGATCGCATCGCTTGCCATCGTCGTCATGTACACACTGAAACTTACACGCGCACTGAGCTTGGACACAATTTTCATGGGCGAGGAAATAAATCCAGGTTTGCTTTTGCTATTAACTCAACGGGGCTCGCAAATTGGGTGCAAATTAGTTGGCGATACGAGACCAAATGCTGCATCGATTGGAGAGGAATTTTTACTGATTTTTATACGCTGTTCACAAAGTGAGAAAATGGGTATATTCGTTGTGTACAATGTCTGTTATTGTTTAAAATTTTGTAATCTATGTTTTTCAAAGTCACATTTTAAGAATGCCTCTTGAGAGCTTGAGAGTCTATCCACTTTAATAATATTGCGAACAGAGTATAGCATCGTCGGTTAAACGTGACCGAAGCGTTTTTCTTTCGTTGTTTTATTTTGTTATGACGGCAAACTAAGTACGTAAAACGTTAAACAAATAATATGGGCTAAAAAAAGAATTTACACAAATAATAAAATTGATTGCATTTTTTCTATACACAGGATGCGGCTGTAAAAGTGCAACAATGGATCATATCAGAGCCGTGGTGATAATTGAAATTCAATTTTTATGAGAAAGGAAAAATCGGAAGCAGGAAGTTGAAGTCTGATGAGTGATAAGTACTTGGCAAGATTGTCTTACGGATAATGGTAGGGAAATAAACTTGAGCCCTAGCAGGTACAATGCTCAGATCATTAAATATCAAAAAAAAAGGCTCTGATCCAAAACGATGTTCGACCTTTAAATTGCCCAAATATAAAGAAAAATGAAGAAAGCGCAATTTCGTATTATGTATTATTTATTGGATTTAGTCATTCCGACCTGCATTTAATTTTGTATATATCTCATATTCTCATACCAAAATTCTATTATCTGTTCTCACACTATTTGTTTGTCTCGTTTGGGGAATCGTGAAACTTGAAATCATAATTGAAATAATTCATTTGCTTACATTTCGCGCAAAGTCATGCTGTTTATTTATTTATTTTGGTTTTTTATATCTGTTTACTTAGTTCTTTTTTGTGTGTTGCTAAATGGCACAAATTTGCCGGCTGACTAAATATGCACTTTATTTTTGAGCCGAATTCATTATTTGCATATGCTCATATCATTTTGTTGCCCTTTTTTTTGATTTATTAATTTAATTATTTTATATGTAATTCGTTGGTTTTCCTTTGTTAAACGAGGTTTTGTTTTTCAAATTTGTTGCAAATTCAATACATTTTCGTTTTCGTTTTGTTTTCTATTTATTGTTTTTTCTCCAATTAATTATTGTCTTAAACAATTATGCCAGCTAACAATATTAACGCTTTACAAATAAAATGCATGTAACAAATTTATTTCAAATCGAAAATATAATTAAACATTATTTTTGTGTATGTTTCCT